CCATCGATGATTTATGCAATAATAACTGACAAAAAAATAAAACACAGTGTAAAAGTTCGGGATTTATTAAGAAACAGATCAAATTATTACATTTTCCAATATTTTGTATCAATTGCCCGAAGGAAGAGTAATTTTGATAATGAAGAACCTTTTAATCTATTTCTTTGTTGATAAAGAGTATAGCCAGCTTTTGAAAACAGTCTTTCGGATGGCGTTGATGTCGCGATAGTACTCAAATATTTCACCGCTATTTTTTTCAATTTCGGGTAAGTGGAACCGAGGACATTGTTCCAAACTTGGATAGGATCTTGTTTAAGATCAGATACTGGATTTTTCAAAAAGTAGCTCAACTCGGAAGGCATTTCGTGATCATGAGGGGAAGGCGTAGAGTTTTTGACATTTACAAGTTTATAATGTTCGCTCCACAAATTAAATTGTTCTGTTGGATCACTTGGATCTGGCGAACAACTAATATCTTCTTCAATAATTTCCGTTTCCGTCGTAGAAGTTAGTAATTCTTTGACAAATCTGATTGCTTTGGAACATGCTGTGGGATCTTGAAAATGAATATTTTTGAATCTTGGGTATAGCAATGTAGATAAAGCAAGTATTTGAACATGTTCCAAGGGTAACAAGCGTTTACATATTTCAGTCATTATGTTCTGCTTAAGATCCTGACCCATAGAACTGTTTGTTTTAATGTTGTTCATTTTTAAGTTTAGCATTCGTGTTATGGGAATGACTTTGCTGCTGGTAACGTAGTCTTCTCACATATTTCTTTAGTAGCAACTTCTATAGGGCGTAAAACTTCAAAAATTTCAGTCAAGTCTTCAATACCTTTTGCAGTTATCATTGGAGGAGCACTTGTATGGCAATTAACAATTTGATTAATTGTTGGTCGCAGTTCTAAAAATCTTTCCACCATATAAAAAATGGAATTCCAGCGAGTGCTGACTTCTTGTATTAATTTTAGATCAGAATGCTTTCGTAATTCATCACTCGCCACTACACTATGCTTGAACCAAGTGACAATCCTTTTGACAGATCCAATTAATTCTGGCAATTGCTTTGTTTTTGCGATTGATTTTTAAGCTACCAAATTAAGTAAGTGAGCAAAGCAAATAATATGGCATTTTTTTCCAAATGAGATATCTACAGCTTTAACAACATTTGCTCCTCCATCAGTTACCACAGCAGATACTTTTTCTGGATCTATACACCATTCATGACATGTCTGCAACAGCATTCTTCCAATGTATTCAGCAGTATGTGATTCGGCTAACTCATAAACTCCTAGAGTCACTGATGCCATACGTTCTTCGTCATAAAAGTGTATAGTGACACCAAGAAAACTCCTAGTCTGCATGGTATCCGTCCATATGTCGGTTGTCAGGGTAATATTACTACGTAGGCCTTTGATTTTATTTTTAAAAAGATTCTGTGTAACTTCATATCGGCATTCTCTTGAAAGTATGCCTGGATGGGACTTTATACAGAGGTGCAGCTGCTTTCATTAAGTTTAGAAATCCTTCATTTTCAACCATCTGAAACGGCTGTGAATCTTTGCAAATCATAAATAAGATAGCATTTGTAAGGCGAATTCCTTTAGCTCCATTTTCAGAAAATTCAGATATGCTCCTGAAACTCTGATTTAGTGTCGGCTGAAATATTTTTTTGCGAATGGACGATGCACTTATGCCACTTATGTCACTTGCATTAAAACTACAATCAGAATCAACTGAACTATTTTCATATAAAGCAGAGACAGGTGCAATTATCTCAGCAGAAGTAGAAGCAGTAGACATTACAGGTTTTACGAATGTCTCCTTACGTGATTTCTTGGCGCCTGTTTTATGAACTGTGTTCTCCTCGTTGCTATTTTTCCCTAATAATGAAATATGCATTTTTTCAATGTGCAACTGAAGATTTGTAGTGTTGCCACAAGTTTTTATGATTTTATGGCAAAACCGACATCTGGCTTCATTATTTTCAAGTCTTTCAAAAAATTCCCAAAAGCGACTTTTTGGCGGCATTTTTAATTCTGTTCCTGTATTCCTGAAAACATGCAATGAAATTTAATTAAAATTCAAACCCGAACTCGAGATAACCACAACATGCAAAAATATTCATAGGAAATACACAAAATAAAATGTTCTGTCATCTTAATATACTATTTTCAATGCAACCAAAACAGTAAGCATCCACACCACAGCCGTAAAAAAAAGAGATAAATTGTCTATGGCCCGAGATATTCAAATTTTGCGCGAGAGAAAACGATAATTTTTTTGCTCTGTGCTCTCTTTGTCTCATATACAGCATTCATAACCTTAAAAAATAACAATTTCGTTTAGCATGCACAGAAAGCAAACAGATGAATTCAATATTTAGAAGTCAATCAATAAAAACTTACATATTGTTGTATTCCATGTAATATTTTATGCACAATAATAGAATACTATCAAATGAGTAAATTAAAACAGCCGACGCACGCACAACCGGCACAACAATTTTTTTATCAACGACCGGTGCGCCCTCAATGAATACGCGTTCAAAATAAACTTGATTTGTGGATGCGTTCATAAAAGACATATTTTGTTTCGTAAGTTGCATTGGTCGTGTCGTGCGTGAGGCCGTGAGTTAACATCGATGATAGATGCCGTTAACATCGATGTTACGATGTTTTTCGTATAGCAATATCGATGTTAAAACAGCGATGTTTTTGCTTTCAACATCGATGATCATCGAACATCGATGTTCATCGAGCATCTCTAATCTGTCACGCGTCACTGGGCTCGGGAACGCGTGCTGCGTTACACATGTTATGTAGCACGCAGCAGGCGTTAATAATTTTTGACACCATGTCAGGCTTATAATGAAGAACCCTATGCTTGAGTAAACACCGCCAGCGCGCCTTCAGCAACCCTATGGTTCTTTCTACTCGGTTGCGGGCTGAACAGTGTCTCTCTGTGTAGAATTGTTCTGCCGAGCCTGCTGCGGCATTGACGATTGGGGTCATCATGAACTCTCTTTGAGCATACCCTGAGTCACCTGCAAAAAAAACACTAATATTATTATTGCTCAGCTCACCAATCATGTAAATTAAGTGTGAGCGTTCTAAAGACGAACCGGTTTCAAGGACCGTTTGTTTTGTGTTCCGCGACGATAGAACCGTTTTACGTTTCGGATCAAAACAGTATTCGTCGAACAACTAGTCCTCGGATTGTCTGCACGCCAATATGTTCTTTATGATGAAGTAAATACAGTCTATAATAGAACGCAATGATATGGGGCCGTTTCGTTCTATGATAATTAAGCTTTGATTTTACAATAATATAATCTTTATTATTGAACATTTAAAGTCGATTATCGTATAACATAACATTTATTTCGATGTTTCGTCGTCTCGTTCGCAGTAACGAAACGAAAGTTAACAAGATTTCATTTAGTTCAGTTTCGTTACGTTACATTCGTTCGACCATCGCGTGTTATTTCGTTGCGTCACCCAGCCGCAACCAAAACCAGTTGCGAACGAGAACCGTTTCAAGGACTAGTTTTAGTTTAAGAAAAAACGGTTGCGTTTCGTCGTCAGAAAATTTGAGAACAGCCCACCGCTAATGTAAATCAATAAATGATAAATCAATCAATCAACTTGTTTAACTTGGCTTTCTCTAATACCTATTCATCATGCCATACCACCATGGCAGGTGGGTTGATGAGGATTATTAATAAGTTCCAAGGTTTTAATTCTAATTTTTGGTGGTACTGCTTTATGTACCTTAGTCACTAAGACACCTTAGTGAAAATGATGAAGGCTATATACATATTCCATTGCCAAGAATCACAAGTAAGTCTATATTAATAAATTTAAAGTAGCACGTACCTAACAAACACACTACCTCCCCTTGATTCACTAAATCTAGCAAGTGATTTTTAACAGCATGTTGGTTGAAGATATGTAAATCATGGGTCGCTCCACCGAAGCAAGCATCTACACTCATAATATTTAAATCAAAATCACATATCTGAAACAAATTCATATATTAATATACCTACCATCAATAACACAAAAAGTTCAATAACTTTACTAATATATATAAATATACGAACAATTTGAACATTTCGGGAATGGTATTGTTTGCGGTTAAAATACCAATCTTCATTTTCTGATGGTCTCACCATGGCCACATGAGTCCCATCAATGCAACCAATCACACCGGGAAGTTGATATTTCTGATAGAATCTAAAATAAAACATACATATCAATGTAATTTCTGTAAATAAGACCTACCTATTTCATGAGAAATTATTATGAGAATTATTATATATTTAATTTATTTACTTTCTCTTTATAGTGTTCCGTTCATCAATATTACTAGGGAACTTAATATATTTTTGGAGTACAGTCGGTTTGTTGAATGCCTCAGTTACCTCTCTAATGCATTTAGATACTGACTGTTGTGACATGGCAGTACTATGGGATCTTCCCACAAGACGTTGGCATTGGTAACTTCCTGTTGCATAAAAAAAGAGAGTAACCAAAATCTGTATCAAATAATTATCAACTCTTAATAAATTCCAACAAGGTCGTCTCCAGCCGGCAAGTTCCAGGTAAACAAGTCAAATGAGTGGATTGAGGAGTTAGGTTTCTTTACATTTGGCTTCTTTATTTGTGTCTAGGAGGGCCATATCCAATAACATAGTTTCAATGACTCTGACTTAGAAGGTATGTAGGTATGTAAAAACAATTATTAAATAACCTCACCGCCGGCTGCATAGTATTTTCGCACTGAATTTATATCATGTTAGCGTTACTATTATTAACGACGACATCACCTATTATTATTGTTATTAAGATAATTATAAAATAAATGTGAATTATATGTCCATAACTAATTTTGTGAGACATAGATTCTACTGTCATCCGATACTTAAAATATAGTCTATGGACTTCGTCAGTTCTATAAAAAGGCGGGTATCATTGTTCGGAGTTCAGTTGAGTCTACGAGCCTGTCCAGATGAGGCGTTTTACGCGCGAGTCCACACGCGTGTTGACACTCGCGCGTATCCGAGATACTAGAGCTACATATATCCCGTCCAGATGCCTACGCGCGTATCCTCACTCGCGCGTAAAACGCGTGCAATGAGCGGGATTCTCGACTCGCGCGTTTAACGCGCGAGCGACGCGCGAGTCGAGATACTCGGGTGCCATTGCTGCGTCCAGTACTACGCGCGAGTCCGTTGCGAGTGGACGTATTTGTAACGATGGAGCGTGATAACTTCGATACGGAACTTTTTATTGATGAAATTGAAAAAAGGGCAGCCATATGGAATCATCAGATTATTCCAATAGAACCATAAAACGCAGGAACTGGGAAGAAATCGTCAAGATTTTTTGTGAAGCTGGAGATTCCGAAGAAAAGAAAAAAACTATAGGTAAGTAAAAATAGTTTATTTAATAATATTATTCCAGACTACATACATTGTACGACCTAGTAGCGTAGAGTATACCGGGCTAAAAAGGTATACTGAAGAACGACCATTTTTTTTGGTTTCCATATTATAGGATTTCCTGATAATTTGTCACTATGTTAATGACATATTTGAATCATAAGTTGTAAAACAAAATATGACTATATCATTTTATCTTGCCAAGGGAGTTTGCCTTCGTTAACAAAATAATCAGCGAATCTGTCTCTTGTGTTCAGCGATCTGGCATTAGGCCTTACTGCCTCAGTATTTATATGAATTAGAGATGTTTCGTAAAGAGTGTGGTCAAACCTATAACCATCCCTTAACCTTACAAAATTATGAAGAACACAGCAAGCTTTAATAATGCTTTCTGCAAACTCTATGTCTACATTCAACGGTCTATGAAATATTCTCCATTTATTTACCAAGATGCCAAAGCAACATTCAATGTAACGCCGGGCCCTGGATAAGCGATAGTTGAAAATTCTTTTCTTAGTTGTTAGAGATTTACCGCAATAAGGGCGCATTATATGTTCAGATAGACTGAACGCCTCATCTCCAACTATCACATGGGGTAAGGGAGTTATATCTGTTTGCGATATTGGCTTTGGGTCTGGAATATCTAAAGTTTTCTCGACAAGTTTTTTATAAAAAACAGAGTCTTGAAAAATTGTGGAGTCATTGCTTTTTCCATATGCGCCGATATTTACTGCAATGAAACAATAATTTGCGTCGCATACAGCCAACAAAACAGTTGAAAAATAACTCTTATAATTATAAAAAAGAGACCCAGAATCATTAGGTTTTATAATACGGATATGCTTGCCATCAATGGCGCCGATGCAATTTGGAAAATTTGTGTATTTTTGAAATTGTTTAGAAATCTCTTCCCATTCAGCCTTCGTAGGTACTTTCATTACGATATTTTTCAGTTTATGCCATATGACGTAACAAGTTTTCTGTACTATTTCGATAACTGTAGACTTTCCCAACCTGTAGGCATAATGCATGTTAGCATTTTTACTTATAAATCTATCTCACAGTAACGCCATCTCTTGTCATTTACCAGAAATATTAAATATTAATAAATTTCCGGTCATGAATACGGATTTGAAATGACACACTGTCACGCCACCACGTGGCGTGACCGCGTGAGTGAGTTGGGCGAGGGACTTGCTTTATAAAAGCGGATTGTGAGAGCAGTCGGGCATTCTTTGTTCGATCGTCGTCGAGAGTGGATTATTGTGTTTAAAATAATTATTGTTGCAGTGTTACCTTAAAATTTATAATTTGTATCAGGACATTAAATTGACGACCTCCGTGGCCGAGTGGTTTATACGCCGGGTTTCATGGCGTCGCCGACTCGAGAGGTCCCGGGTTCGAATCCCGGTGGGGGCAGATGTTTGTGTGATGAATACGAGCATTTGTACTCCAGTCATGGATGTTTAATATGTATTTCATATAAATATACTTATATATGTACAATATATGTATTCTATCCGTTACCCTAGTATCCCATAACACAAGCCTTTACAGTGCTTACTTTGGGGCTAGGCTAATTGGTGTGAGTGTTGGAAATATTTATTTATTTATTTATTTATTAAATGGTTATAATTTGTGAAAGTGTCGTAACTGATAATTAAAAGGAAGGTGTTATTTAAATCGATTTTTATTCCGCTCCCATACTTCTGAACTCTTTTAGTTCAGAAGTGGGATAGTTACAGGAATATTTCTTAATATTCCAGCACGTCCACATTTTTTTGAAATAAGTAAGAGAGTATCTAGTAAGTAAATCTGATAAAACAGGTAAGTTTTTTTTTTCTTCTTTATCTCTTCTATGATTGCGTCTCTTTATATTTTTCTTATTTCTTTTGCTAAATAAGTGAAACAAAATTTAATTTCGATATTAAGATAATTCAAGTTAAATGCGGGTACAGTATGATATGCCGTTCTGTGCTTATGAAATGAGCAGACTTCAAATTAATGATAAATTTAGCGTAAGCATGAGTAAATAAGATGTTTTAAAATTACTTATGTGAGCTTATTGCTGTCAGGCTTAACCAATAAAACTATTTGGATTGATTGGGACAGATGATAAGATGAAGGGATACTTGCTATTGTTGCTTAACAATGCCTTTGCCGTCATCTATATGTGGACTTATGAAGTTAGTTTTGTCGTATTCAATTAGTCCGCACTATCTGAATTAATGAAAAAAAAAAAATAATCTAGTTCATAATCTGAAATTCTTGTTTATATGTACAATTATGTGTGGATACCCACCTATTACATAGAATGAAAATAATTCGTATACCTACATCGGAACTTGGTACACTTAATAGGCTAATGATTAATAAATTTCCCTTTTTATTAAATAATTATCGTGGTTGAGACTGTGCCTAATTTTGTTTTTTTTCGTTTTTTCCTTTCTGTCATTATTTAATACATTGAGAATGGAGTAATAAATAAACTGTCCTTGAACTTTATAATTTTCATACATTTGAATTAAAACAGTGTGTGAAAAAAAAAATATAATAATGTAAATGTCTAACAAAAATAAAAAGTCACGTGGCAACGGGAAATGGAAACGAACTCACCGTGACTCCAACTTAAATCGAGGCAGGAAACGAAGCCAACGCAAACGAACTGTGAGTAATGATTTATCTGAATATAGTAGTAGTAGAATTAGGTTGCGTAAACGTAATCATGAACGTACAGTTGTTCAAAGTAATCAAGTTCTTACCGCGACAGATGTATTAGATTTGGTTAAGTCACTATCTTCTTCTACATCACAAAATTCGAATCATTTTTCTATGAATACCAATGCAGTGCCCGAGTTTGACCCCGCGAACAAGGAACAGAATATTGAGTCATGGATCACTAAAGTGGAAGAATGTTCCATTTTGTATAAATGGAGTGAGACCCAGATGATTCATTATGCACTTCCAAAATTAGTAGGGGTAGCAAAAGTGTGGTATCAAGGGTTGCCTTCATTAAACTTTTCCTGGTCCGAATGGAAAGAGACTTTAATTAAAACATTTCCAACAGTTCAAAATTATGCTCAATTATTACATGAGATGCTGGAGCGAAAGCCAAGGCATAATGAATCACTGGAAACTTATTTCTATCATAAAATAAATCTTTTAAATCGGTGTGGTATTACTGGTAAGCGAGCAGTAGACTGTATCATTTATGGGTTAGATGATAGGGGGATGCGTTTAGGTGCTCAAGCAGCTAATTATTTACAACCGGAGGACTTGTTGACATATTTTAAATCGGTAAAAACTGAAGATCCTAAAGATAGACGCCTACCATTACTTAGAAAACGCACCAATTATTCAAATGATAATAATAAGCCATCTATTATCAAATGTTTTAATTGTAATGAGTTAGGACATCCAAGTTTTAAATGTTCCAAACCTCTTTTAACTTGTGGTGTGTGTAAAAGACTGGGACACCAAAGTAGTAACTGTAGGCGACTTATTAAAAGTAGTAATGATAATAAAACGACATTTGTCGGAGAAAAGTCTGTTATGGAAATTAACTTAGAAGAGCAATGTAACGAAAAATATGTTCTTCCTATTTACGTAAATGGTATAGTAAAAAGATGTTATGTAGATCTAGGAAGTCAATGCACGTTAATTAGAAATACTGATTTCAAGGAACTGAATCTAGAATATGACTCTGCTGATGTGCCAGCTTTGAAGGGCTTTGGGAATTCGTCAATACGACCATTAGGTAAAGCGACTATCAAGTTGCAAGTACAATCGGTTATAGCAAGTGTAGAAGTTTTAGTAGTACCCGATGAATTGCTTAAACATGCGGTGTTGTTAGGTCATACATTTACCGAACAAGCTGGAATTATTATAATTAAAACAGATAAAGAACTAATTTTACAACAACAACCAAAATTAGACAAGGATGAGAAACAGAAATTAAAATTAACTATTGGTTGTGATACAATAGTTACGCATATGAATGCTATACCAATAGATACTGGTAGGGATTGTGATTGTCAAGTATACGTAAATGAGAGTATTAGGACTGTAGGTGTTGATAGATATATTCATTTTACCAGGAATATATACTATTACTGGAGGCAGAGGCTGTGTGTTAGCATTCAATTTAACAGAAAACCCTATAAAATTATTTAAGGGAACGTTGTTAACTCGATCTTATATATTTAAAGAAAATTCCAAAGTCATTCTTCAAGTTAACTATATAAACAGTGATAGCAAAGATACAGAGCTAACACGAAATCTAAATGTTGAGGAAAACTTAAGTACAAAAGAGCGTGATGATTTAGAATCCCTACTTAAAAAGTATAGAGATTGTTTCTCATTCAGTTTAGCGGACTTAGGAGTAACTAATTTAAGTGAAATGCACATTAATATGAATGACAACACACCAGTCGTTTACAGACCGTATAGGTTAGCATTTTCAGAGAGGCAAAAGGTTAAAGACATGGTCAAGGAAATGTTAGATTGTGGTATTATTACGGAATCGACATCCTCGTATGCTAGTCCTATAATACTTATACAGAAAAAGACGGGTGATCAGCGATTATGCGTTGATTACAGAGCCTTAAATGCCAAAACTATAAAAGAACATTACCCTTTACCAAGAGTAGAAGATCAAATTGATCAACTGAGTGGCTATAATTTCTTTATTACCTTAGACTTAGCTTCTGGATATTACCAGATCCCAATAGCTCCTTCGTCACAAGATAAGACGGCTTTCGTAACACCCGATGGTCAATACCAATTTACAAGAATGCCGTTTGGTTTAGCAAATGCGCCCTCGGTGTTTCAAAAAACTGTCAATAAAATGCTTAAAGATGTTAGGAACCGGGAAGCGTTTGCATTTATGGATGATATAATTATACCGTCAAAAGATATAGTACAGGGTATGCAAAGGCTTGAAAAGGTATTAAAATTAATTAAGGAAGCTGGTTTAACTTTGAAATTATCAAAATGTAACTTTTTCTGTAGGAATATTGACTATCTTGGGTTTGAGATAAATAAAGATGGGGTGAGACCGGGACTAAGAAAAACAGAAGCAGTAGAAAAATTCCCATGTCCAACAAATCAACACGA